ATAAAAAAACAAACTGCCCAACGATGTGAAAAATCAGACTTCGACATAAATGAGCAACAAAAAAGATAAGTTATCGAAACAGTTGCCATAAAAAGGGTTTTCCCTTTTAACAACATACAGATACGTGGCATACCGGAGGCCTCTGAGAAAAACAACACCGTAGGATTTGTGACGGTTTTATTCGATCATCAGTGCAAAGTCTGAGTGACACAGTCGTATGCACTGAGACAGAAGGCACCACTCGCTGGTCGCCAAACCAACTGAACACACTGCTCTTACAAAAGCCATTATTGTCTGCTTCCTGGGCTACAGAATGAGAAAAAAAACATGTAATTCAGCAAGCATAAAAACAGAAGATTAAATCTGAGGGACAGATCATTTGCTTTAACTACGGCTACATGACAGAAATACAGAAGAGGAGGAAACAGGTACAAGACATAATAAAGAAATGGGAAGAGATGAATGTGAAGGGAAACTTGTTTTGCTCAAAGCTCTGCTACAGCTCAAAGAGACAAAATTATAATTATCATTTAAGCCTTTTTTTTTTTTCTTTTTAACGCATGCACTCACTGATGTCACTAATCGCTGATTCATCAAAACTAATAAACGTGTAATGGAACACTTTACGGGGTTATTCTGAGGGTTGTTCTTAATATTTTGTCCATCCTATTTATATTAAAAAGATCTGACAAAATATTAGGAAGTCCTCTTAGTATAACCCAGTGCAGGTTAACAGTACCACAAATTACAGCCTCCAAAATGAACACGACAACACATCAACAGCTTCTGTACATGTACATTGATATGAAATTGAAACATTATTAAAAATAAAGGACACGCTTATAAATGTTGAAACAAAGGAGGCCTTTATTAAAATAGCCAAGTTTAGCCGACAACACATGGGAACCTTTCATAATTGTGAAGAAAATAATGATGACACTATCAGCTTGACAACAATTTTGACAATAGTGATGTCCTCAGAAAGACTGCAGATGGCTTCAAAAGTACAATCTGTAATTGGCAGCTGCTCTGAACAGGCTAGCACTGGTTCATCTTATCTCCTAAAACCACTGTGTTCCTCAGGAAGTAAAAGTGAGTCACTGTAGCACCAAGTGGCCACGGCTGCACCACAAGGTGCTCCTACAAATTACTCACCCAATTTCCCTTGTGACTATATTTTTAGAACAGTGTCTGTAAAAGCTGCAACTGCAGAACAACGCATAAAATGTATTAACTGTATGTGAGGTGTTTTTTGATCATGTCATCTAAACAAATGCCATCCTTTTCATGTGCCACACTGATGGATTTATGGTCCTCATGGCCCTTGGGTGGCACTTTTTGATCAAGATTTTTTCAACCTTGGTTTTCTCAACCAGTGTTCATCCATCCACGGTACCACAATACATCATGTGAGCTGCGAGGATAGAAGAAGGCACAAATTACAACAAATTCCCATCACATACAGAGTGGTGTACCCAATGGAAACTAATTATGAAACTGTTTCAGTGTGCTCATGTTAACCTTCCAGCCTGATACTGTATAATGTCAGTTAAAGCTGCACAAAGTGATTTCTTACAACACTTTGTGGTTATTTAGAAAGCCGTTGTTAGTTAACTGCATCATTTCAGTATTCCATTAAGTTGTTGCAGAACACGCAGAACATAAAGAAATAAAAAAGAATACTCCATGCTGTTTCAAAACTTGTGACATGAGAAGATTTCTGTAAGAATCACATTTTCAGCAATTGGATGGCAGGACCTTATGTTCTCAAAACTGCACACAAAACCCTGCTAACTGCCAACATGCATGAAAAACATACACCCTTAGAATACCCTGGGTCTACAATGAATGGTTGTAGTTTCACAAAGCTGTGAGACTTCTAGAGAAAATGGTCCAAACGGTCTCACTACTTAGTCTCATTGGATCATGCTTTCCTGTCAAACCCAATGTATGTAAATGTAAGACTGGTGATAGTCATGTACACACTTTAGAAAAGGCAGAGATGTAGTTGCACTGCATGCGGTTCACAGCATTTACTACTTTAGTACTTGTAGCATATGTGGACCGATTCTTCAAAAATGACCAGAACCAACAAACACACCTTCTATATCTTACAAAATTTTACTCAAATTCTATTCAGACTTACTGTCGTTTCTGAGGTATGCGGTGGTTTTCTCTTCTGATCTCCAGCCTTGTATTTGCACTTCAATGTTCTCCGCACATGAAGGCCTTCAGTTTATAGACTAACCAATCAGAATGCAGCAAGTGTGACTGACAGTGCTCTTGTCCAATGAAATGCTTTAATGCTGCCGTTGTGCCCACATCATCCAGAGTGTTAACAGTTTACATCTTTTTAATGAAATCCTTCTCAGATTTTTGAAGTTGTGCTATAATACAGATAAAATGTCATATTTTCCTGATCTTACAGGTGCATGCACAAGAAAACATAAAAATTATCTTTTTTTTCTGAAACAAGATTATTCGAGCTGAATGATTTGAATGATGACTAACTGCTCTTCATCTGCAATACGAATGATAATTTTTTTCAATGTGTAGTGTGTTATTTAAGCACAATTCATCCCTAAATATTGCTGATTTTGAGAT